ATTTTTTATTATTATTTAGGAAGCATTATAAATAGTTCTGTAAATTAGCAATAACAGTATTTTTATTTAATCTACTTTTGGTAAATAATTTAGAGTATTAATTTCATTAATTAGAATTTGTGCATTAATTAGAATTTACAAATAATTCCAAAATTACAACCATCTCCATCAAATTATCTTTGAATCTCTCTAATTTTGAAGGGTAACAGCACATTTGGCAGGTGCCACTGACTGGTTGCCCTCCCTCTGCTCAGCAGATCTAAATCAAACATTGCTATGCCTTATTGAAACACAGGGGATTCTGTTCTTGCCGTTTAATCCATGTGTTGCATAAGGTGTCTTTGTTGTTTGTTTTTCGGATTATGCACAAGGCCAGTCGAGGATTGTCTGCGCTAGCTGTCCCTAATTAAGTAGTGATAGAGTAAAAAGAAGGCAGTTAGTAAATACCACCCACTGCTAACTCCTGGGTTACTCTTTTATCAACAAAAAATGGGATTGACCATCACAATAGGGCGAACATGTTCGGTGACGAGATTCAAGCCCGTGACCTGCAGATTGTGAGTCGAATTCTCAAATCACCAGGTCATGCCAGACTTTGCAGAAGGTGTCGCTCAGGTTGAAAACGATAGAGAAGAACGCTCCAGTTTCTTATACTTTAATCAGGGTGTGAATTTAAATAAAACGTGTTCTGTGAGTGGATGATTTTACTTTTATTAGGCCTTAAACAGAAGCGGCGTAGGAGAACCACATTACAATATCACCCTTTGATTCCCCCCCCCCATGGTTCAGTGATAAATTTGCAGGCTTACAATGCTAATAATGCGATGGGCAGAGCCAAGATAGCCACCTGGATAGCTTTGTGCTTAACAACTTTATTTGACTTCAACATTTATGAACAGTGTGAATTAACTGTATATCTCCTGAAAATGTTCGAAGTGAGCGACAAAAATAATTTTACCACTTTTCACAAAACTAATACACATATAAGATTATTTCGGATCTTGAAGAAAATAAGATAATTATGTCGTCTTCTTATTTATAATCAAAAACTTAATAATCCCAACTCAGACCTCTTGTTTGCTTTTTAAAAATCAAACTAAAACTCTCAAACGCAAATCCTACCAAGGTGGAATGAATACACTAAAAACGCGACAGAAAGAGTTAGTGAGGTTTCGTGTGTTACTGAAAATCGTGTAAATTGTTAAAACTATCTCTTTTATGCTTCCGTACATAAGAAGCAGCATACCTATTACCAAGATGCTTCTGAAACGTTGACGAAATAACGTATTTCATCCAGAACCGATGGTCGATCACAGTTAATACGGCGAGAAAGAACTTAACTTTGGATGGTCAAGTGTGTCTTATGTAGCTTGATCTCACATGCATCTTCCTCTTGTTTTTCCACATAAGTTTAAATCCTGTTTCTGATGTACGACCTTATGAGTCTGTATTCCTTGGAAATAGTGTCGTATCAAAATCTACCATTAAAGCAGAAGTTCGTTGCTAGACTATAATAAACTGTAACCGAAACAAAAGAACCCAAAAATATATCTTTTTGTCGAATCTATTTCACATTATTAAAGTAACCTGTCTTCCTGGAAGCTTTGCTCCATAATGTTTGAATAATTCTTATCTAGTAATAATCAATCAGTTCGATGTTATTTTGACAATTTTACTCTTGGATTATTTTTCATACTCCTTTTTACATTTCTTGTTCAATTTACATTTACTACTATTCAGCTCGTTTAATATTCTATACATTAGCAAAGCTGTTGTTAGTGTTGACCTTTGCTATGACCTATGGCCCACATTCCCATGTATGCACATTTAACCAAGTTAAGAACGTTAATTAGTAGGCCTGCTACTTATTTACGTGCTCTTATGTAAAATCAATGCGAAATTTGGGGTCCCCCTTCGGGAACTCCACGTAAAAGTGGTTTTCACCATATACTCGTGTTTCCTCAGGGGTTGGGGGAAAATTTTTATCTTTTTGCAAACTTCGGAGCTCAGACAATTCGTTTGACACCACTTAGCAAACCCGTGGGCCTATGGCCAACATTTACTGAGCCGCTATAATGAAATTTAGTGCTAGAACTATTATATATAGGTGCTCTAATGTGAATCAATCCCAAATTTGGGATCCGCTTTCGGATCATCCCCAGATTCACAAAGGTTTGGGGTGAAAATTTTTACCTTTGTTCAAACCTCAAGATAGAGACAATTCGTTTGGTACCATTTAGAAGTCAGTGTTAACCACAGTTCAGAATGAGGTACGTGACACACACACACATAGATACTAAATCTTATTGTACAGAAGCTATTGTATCTGTAATCGTGCTTCCTCTATATATCTACTACATTTCAACAAATGTCCAGAATATCTTACTTTCTTTGAGAGTAGTGATTTCTCTTTTTCTAAAACATTAAGAAAAATCTGAAATTTAAACTCTGACTGCAATAAAATGTTCCTCATTTCCAGATATATTCACCTATATAAATATTATTGAGCGTACTATATCATACTGATAATGCATTTCAAACGTTCTCCATACTTGAAAATGAATATTACTATAAAAGATCCCACCACAACAATAAACCAGAATTTAAAATTAAACAGTTTAAAGTTCATGCTTTGTTTGTTGTAAATCAAAGCCACATTGGGCTCTCTGCTGTGTCCACTGCGGAGAATCGAACCTCGGGTTTTAGCGTTGAAAGTTCATAAACTTACCGCTGTCCCATTGGGGGACAAAGTTAGTGGGCAAAAACGTTTTTATTAAAAGTGGAGTACAAAGTTTCTACCAGAAGTTTGTACCTGAACATGGTCACGTGTGGTTGAAACATTATATTCACTCTTTTTTAATAAAAATGAGTGAATACCCAATTTTAATGTTTTATTTTACATTTTCATTCTCATTATCTCAAGTTTAATTCAATACAGTTAGGCCCAGTAGTGAAAATATTGCGCATATGGACTGTTTTATGTGGGTTTTTCCTGTCTTGATTTGATGTTAAGATTACATTTCGGACTTTATGCTGATGATTTCCCCACCACATGGAGCTCGAAACATTCATCCACATGACAAAGCCTCCATAAAATATTGTGATCATTTTTTTTCATCAGTGTTAGTTTGCATATCTGTGTATCAGTGGAGTATACAGCATCAGATTCATGTTTACCAAATGTTATTTCTCACAAATAATGGTGATTATACTGCAAGAAATAATTTTGTAAGTTTACGTCTTGTTGTATAAAGTTAGTAAAATAACACTAACTAATGTGAATTATTCAAATAATATATACATATATTTAATCACAAACAAGTATATAGGTCAAAGGTGTAGGAGGCAAATTAATATTGGGGTAGCCAAAGGTTTATTTGACCAAGCGAAGCGTTGGAATGTGCGCCATAGGTGCACTCAAGGGCTCGTCTTAGAGCCCTGGAAGCTCTTGGGTTCTGAGTGTAAATTTCCTAATTTTGATGCATTTTTTACCGAGTCATATTGTTGGTAGTAAATTATTTCTTATTTTATTTTTGATATAATTTTAGATGCGTACACAGATTGTGTTGATAATTACTTTGCAAGTTAAATGCAGATGCTTTTTTTAGAATCTTCTTTGTTTTATCTCTAAAACATTTGTATAGAAGAAATTATGATTGTTTGTTTGACTGCTATAGGGTATCATTTGTGGTCAATTTCAGGTCGTGCCTACGCTTCTGAGACTCCTTAGGTCGTATCGACATGAACTCCACTGTGTTGGAGGATCAGTCAGATGAAGAGCTGCCCCTATTCCGTCCCTTCACCAGGGAGTCTTTGGCGGCTATTGAGGCTCGTATTGCGGAGGAAATCGCCAGAAAGAAGGAGCAAGCCCCAAAAACGGAAGAGGGGGCGGCGGGATTGGCGGATTCGGACATATACACTTCCGCCCATACGGAAGAAGACCTCAAGCCTGATCCTCTACTAGCGGCTGCCATGCCCCTACCTAAATCACTGCATTCTCAGCTACCCCTGGAACTAATCGCCACTCCCGTTGAGGACATTGATCCATTCTACGAAAATAAATTGGTAAACTTATTTTTGCTCACCTTTTTATTTCTTTAATTATTTAGTCTGTGATCGTTTTCTTTGTCGGCTTGATTTATTAAAGTGTAAGGTTTTAGCATCTTTTTATGTTGGGTAAAAAAAGAACTAATGTTGTTTGACTCATTTTTATCTTAATCTTTACAACTTGATATAATTTCGTTCTTGATCAAAAAACAAAAAGGGGGAACAAACACAGTAATACTTATTCGTGTGGAAAGTGTAATACCGATGATGTTATTCACATATCTTCGTAATAAACGTTGAAATAATATCAATATGTAGCTATTGTCATATAAAGCATATTATTAAAATTATGACACAAATTATATACCTTATATAGGCTATAACATTATTGTGTCTTTACTTAAATACAGACTGAAGTTGTAATAAAGCAATATCTAATTGAATACTATAGTAGATATTGTGTTCGTCTGTTTTGTGCAAACCTACAAAATGCTCTCTATTCCCGCGGAGAATCCAACCACAGATTTTAGCACTGCAATTCCGTACATATGCGGCTGATCGACCTGGGGACAGTAGCCAGTGAAACAGCTTGTTGCAGTTAGAATTATATATTTAGATCGAAGCTATTCAATGGGGTTTAGTGTTCTGTGTATGTCAGTACAGTTCAAATAATGGTGAGTTACAATTTTACGTGAATTATCACGTAAAACAATGAAAGGAAACAAAATTTCCAGAGATAAACTGCATCAAATGATGAGTTATACACGTTGGTTAACCGTGAGGGAAGCTCTGAGTATGGTTCTAAAAGAGAAAGTCCAATCTTGCTTAAAGCACAAGAAGGTGTAGGCAATCGAACACAATTCCCCATTCAATGCATTTCCTTTTATACAAAAGGCAAACCTGTTTGTACAAATATATAACATCGATCTTACAGATATTACAAACAATTAAGATCTCACTCCTGACAATTTCACTATCTAAATTAAACCCAATATTACTGATACACTAAAATAAATTTGAAACGTAATCACACGCACATCACTAGTTGCAAGCTGTTTGGAACGTTCTCAATGTAATTAAACTCGGCTAAATAAAAAGTCCACAACAAACATTTATATATATATATATATCTTCTAACAAAGCAGTCGCTATAATCTATACAGCAAGAAAACGTTTCACCTTGTTTCGGTCTAGAGAAGAAACATGGGGCTTGAGACATGATAAGAAATAACCTAAGGGAGCATTATTAATACAAGTATCAGGAAAAATCGCTAAACAAAAAATCCATATAGGTCTGGCTACTGAACTTGAAAAAAAAGGAACCAAACAAGATAGGGATTGAAGTGGACATATCACTTGATCCGGTTAACGATCACATAGCAGACTAAACCGTTTCGACTTGATAATAAAATCCCTACATTACTAGCTTCCCCACTTTGGCTATTGAAAGCTTGGGTTTTGAATATAATCTCAGCTTTCATCATTATACCTTTCCTTGAATTAACTTTAGAATACTACTTTTATTACTATTTTACAGCAGACTAACAGTTTATGACTGGAAATTCTAGTTCTATTTGTGTTTCCAATAATGTAGGGATTTTATTCTCCATGTAAAGTCGAGATGGCTTAGTCTGTTATGTGATTATTACCCGGATCAAGTGATATGTCTACTTCCACCCCTGTCTTGTTTGGTTCCTTTATTCAAGTTCAACCCTACATAGCTTTTTTATTTAGCGATAATTTTTTCCTAATACTTGTTTGTTTACTTTTTTATAAGATGGCGTACGTGGGTTACTAGGTTATAGAGTGTATTCTAAAGCGTTATAAATTTTGCTTAGAATAACAATAAAATAGGTAGTTAAAGATCGTGAAGACTGTTTTGCTCTACCAATGATGATAAAATTATATTTACTGCTAGAACTAGATAGGCGCTAGGCCTGTTGAAGAAAGATGATGATGAAAAAAAATAAGAAATCTCGGTTTTGGCTATTCGCCATTTTTCCACTTTGTACGCACTGAATAGCTGAAAAGCGACATTTACATCGGAGATTTCGCGACTATGCCAGGTAGCTCTTCATATCTAGCTTATGATGACCTGTAGAAAAAAATGTGAATTTTTGTATTGCTTTAATGCGGGCGTCCGTGCTGTCCCTACATAGAGCACTCTTCGATATCTTATTGTTAGAGCCAAATACGTTGACAATATGTAATTTTAGCGGTTTTAGAAAACATTTTCACACGTTTTTTCCTCGACCAACGTGTATATACATGAAATATTTTAAACAACAGGGCACAGTGAGTCACGAAACAAGCTAATACTATTAAACATGAGCCGAAAGAGTCTCGAAGGTTTCAGTAAGAAATGATCCACTTTAGTATTGATTTAAAAATGTATATACGTGCTACATTCTGTACGTGGAGGTCAAACCATTTCCAATTTTTTATCAAACTTCTAGTGCCCATAGCAGTAAATGTTTTCAGTCTATCTTGTTTTAAAAGCGTGTATAAAATGATATAAATGTTATCCAAGTTAATATATAATTATCGAGGTAAGTCTTCTATTTGTTTTAAATTCGTAACACACACACACACGTGTGGTTAAAATATTGTTTTTAATAACCTTTTATTAGTAACAATGCATATATAGGACACATTAATCTCCTGTAAGTGTACCTATTAACACTTTGTTATCTGTAGCACTCAGCATCTAATGTCTCAAGAGCAAGCCTGAAGGCTGATAACGCTAAAAATCAAGTTTCGATAGCTGCGGTGGGCAGACCATGGTCAGCCAATTGTGAAGCTTTGTGTTTAACAACAAAATACTTCCTGATAGTCAGAACTAGATTTCCCAGTTTTCAGGGTTTCTCGCTTTATAAAAGTACATGGGGGCATAAAATGTTGATCAACGATCTTTTACAGCTTCTTTAGGTATATAATTTTGTTATGAATCAACTATATAAAGCCGTCCGTCCGTCATATATCGGCCGTTTTGGTACCAATCGAAAAGCCGTCCGACTGTCATATCTCGGCCGTTTTAGTACCAATCGGCACGCAACTTGTCAGAAAGGACGGTGCTTTCTGCCGTGACAAGCAAGTTTGTATTTTCAAAATTCTTCCAGCCATTTATATATATAGTGGACGATGCGCTACTATGGGCATATAATTAGATTTGAGGATAGGTTGATAGAGGTCAAACATACTGTTGGTGTGAACGTGCTTTGTATTCAATATGAAGAAAACGTTTATTTATTTATATATAATTTTGAGAAGAAAAATTAATCATTATTCCCTTTATATGGCGGAGATTTAGCTTGTTTTCTGTAGTTATAGAATGTCTTACAAATGTTTAAATTAATCATTATTCTATTGTTACAATTTTTGATGTAGTGATTATTTGACAGAATGTTTGTTCCATGAAAAACTATCTTACTGAATTATTTGATTGGAGGTCCATTAATTATTACCTCATTACTGTTGAATAACTTAGTATAAAGTTTAGAACTTCTTAGAAGCTTGTGCTAGGATAATGAATACACAGGCAGCAATAAGGTGATAATTAATGGAATTTAAATTAAATAACACCATATGAGCGTAAAAGTCGTACATAGAGGTTCCTATTAGCATCATTAGTTGGAGCGATTGCAAAGTTAAGGTCGATTAATGGTTTTAAACTATACCAGCATAAAATTCCCATCTCTGCTGAGGGTTCAAAGGCCCTCTTTTAATCTACAGAAGCCCCATTGTACCAACCCAGCACCTTCATTACCTTCAATTACTTCTGGTGGAACGTACCCAAAAAAACCTTTATTAGGACATCCGCTCCAAGTTTGGCCCCACAAGTATGTGAGTAGAGGTATAAACACATTTCAAAAATGGCGTCCCTGGGATCGGGATACTGAGGGGGCAAGGAGTACAAAATCAGATGCCAGATTCGAGTTCAGCGATCCTGAAAACCCTCTTTTTAGGTCTCCATCTACCTTTTGTGGCGTTCTAACCTTCCTTGGTACTCCCCTCCCCTTGGTAGGAGTGTTACTCCATATAGAAACGGACACCATCGGGCCACACCGAGTCTGGCTTCCAAGTTTGGTCCTGCTAGCTCCAAAACTGTAAAAGGTGTTCGTGGGCAAACAGTATGTTACAAAACCCGCTGGATACAATATTTTTCATGCAACATAATTTTAGATAACACTAGCTGGAATATTTGTCCATTGGACGGGTGAAATGAAAACTCATTAGTAACAAATGATAGGAAATTGTACTTCTACTTTTTCTTAACATAATAAACATTAAAAGTGTAATAAGAATACATAAAGGTAAGGTACCAATAGAGAAAAGAAAGACATACTGTTTTCAAAAATTCTATCAATATGAAATTAAATGGGGGGGTCGAACACTTTTCTCATGTTATCTTGTATCATTGTGTCTAGTTTGGTGCTGATTGATCAAGAATTGTGAAAACATATAAGGAAAAGATAGACACACATACTGACATTTATTTATATAGATAACGACAAGCTAAACAACATTATTCCCTCAGTTTGTGGTGGTTTTTCTTACTTTCTTTACATTTACACAACAACTTAACAGGTCATTACTGAAAAACTTTAAAATTCTACAAAAAGAAGATTTAAGGCTTTTGATGAGTAAGGGAACTAAATTTCGCAGATATCCGAGAATTAACTAAAAATGTTCTAAAAACGTTTTGACGCATTTGATATACAAGACTGCTCAGTTTAAGAAGTATTATTTACTTGATATTGTGAATTAATAATTAATTGTTATTTAGTTTTCGTAAGAAGAGTGTTAAAAGTTAATTACTTTAAAAGCCATAGTTATGACAAATTTCGTTATGTTACTTTATACGAGTCGTACGTTGTGTATGTAGTTGAATTGTTGTACTAGGCTTTTGTAATATTGTTGACGTTATCTTACTCGAAGCTTCTAAGTTTTTCTCGTTATGTGTCATATTGTTGTTACTAGAGGGCTAGATATTTCTACATTTTTCTGTCGTGTGCTAT